ACAATAAGTCACCATAAAACCCGTTTTCTGTCTGGTTACTGAACATTATTGTGTAATGACACATTATTGTGTAGTTTAACATGAACCAGGTTCCACTCAGCATTACTTCAGATGTGGTAAAGTGACCACTCTTTGGTAGTAGACAAATGTTAGTATTATTTTCAGTGCCATTTAATGACTACAACAATTATGGGGGACTACTGTGATTGGAGACTGGGGGAACTACACCACTAGCAGAAAATTTGGATTTAGGTATCAATTACAGACGTTTTTCTTTTTTTTTTTTTGAGACGGAGTCTCGCTCTGTCGCCCAGGCTGGAGTGCAGTGGCGCGATCTCGGCTCACTGCAAGCTCCGCCTCCCAGGTTCACGCCATTCTCCTGCCTCAGCCTCCCGAGTAGCTGGGACTACAGGTGCCCGCCACCGCACCCGGCTAATTTTTTGTATTTTAGTAGAGACGGGGTTTCACTGTGTTAGCCAGGATGGTCTTGATCTCCTGACCTCGTGATCTGCCTGCCTCGGCCTCCCTAAGTACTGGGATTACAGGCTTGAGCCACCATGCCCAGCCCAGTTACTGTTAATACAGACTTTTAATACAGACTGTTCAATTTTCAGTATTTGAAATATTCTTTTCCTGAAGTTGGCATCTTTCCCCCCTTCTTTCTGTATCTGATTTAGTTGACCTATAATTGACATCATTTTCTTCATGGAGAAAATGGCAGCCTCAGTAAGGCAATCCTGGGAACAATAGTCAGTGGACACCTCCAAGAGACACTTAAAATACAGTATCTAGACATTTAAGATCAGGATCAAAGCCATACCCTGCACTCCTATTCCTTTTCCATCCTGTATTCTACTAGCTCACTGGATAACAGATATCACTCTGAGTTTTACAAGTTCTAGTTTGATTGATTTTGTACCCTACCTGATAAGTATGGGCTTACAGTATATCCAGACAGATGAACCTGACTCCCAGTAATCTCAGGCTGGGTGCAATGATTCACACCTGTAATCCCGGCACTTTGCGAGGCTGAGGTGGGAGAATCACCTGAACCCAGGAGTTAGAGACCAGCCTGAACAACAAAGTGAATTTTTTTTTTTAAACAAATAGTGTCCTACTGAACTGAAATGGTTACTGTCTAGTTCAGGCTGATATACAACAGCTTTCTTGTGTAGTTGTTCACTTTCTAGCTTTCTTTTTTTCTTGATGAATATCTGCTTCCTCCTGTTTGTCACTTGTAGATAGGAGAGGTCACTCACTGGGTAATTCGCTTCCATTCCTGCTGACATCTCCCTGTTAGTCACTCACGCCCATCATCATGCTGTCACCTTGCCATGGTTTCAGGGAGGAGGATAATCTCCGTTAGAATCTTTTTCAGTTAAGAGGAGAGTTGCTGAATAGTCTGGATAAGTTGTAGTCTTGCTAGTTAGAAAACGTGTACAGTATCGAAATTGTCCTTTCCCTTTGCTCTCTGAACATAGCACAAGTAGGTGAACCTATGTATCCCTGACTGTGTCTCTGATATCTTTTGGACCCTGTCTGTGTCAGATGAGAGTTCATGTTTCTAGCTGAGTTGTATCTGATATACTGAACATAAACAAAGGAATGGCAAGATTGCTTTTCAGTTCTTCATGATTTTGAATAAAATTGACAAGCAGCACTGGGGGACAGTACTTTCAGATCCTTTCCAGCTAAGATAATATTCATATATCATTCAAAGATAAAAAGAATGAAATATAAGAAAATAAGGGCTATGAATGTGCTTTCTTTCCTTTGGTCTAAACACTACCCATGAATCCCTTTTCTCAATGCCTTTTATTGAGTTTAGCAAAACTGCTGTTTCCTTTCCAATGTGTTTTTCTTTCTTGCTGTTCTGTGCCAAGCAGATCCATAAAGAATTCTGTCTCTTTCAATCTTGGATTATAAGCCTAGCCAGAAGAGGGGAGAATAAGTTGGGAGAGGGAGTAAGCCCATCAGAAAGTCGAAAACCACCTCAGAGTATCAGGACAAATGAAACATTTTTTGTAGAATCCTTTCCAGGGTTTTCTTCTCTGCTCAATTTTTTTTTTTTAATTTTAATTTTAATTTTTTTTTTTGAGACAGAGTCTTGCTCTGTCGCCCAGGCTATAGTGCAATGGCGTGATCTTGGCTCACTGCAATCTCTGCCTCCCGGGTTTAAGCAATTCTTCTATCTCAGCCTCCTGAGTAGCTGGGACTACAGGTTCCCGTCACCAGGCCCAGCTAATTTTTGTATTTTTAATAGAGATGGGTTTCACCATATTGGTCAGGCTGGTCTTGAACTCCTGACCTCAGGTGATCAACCCGCCTTAGCCTCCCAAAGTGCTGGAATTAACAGGCATGAGCCACTGCGCCTGGCCTCTCTGCTGAAATCCTGACTTCCTTTTTAGTCACAAGTTCCAAAGTCATTTCTAAGCAGATGAAATCTTGTCTGATTCTAAATAACTAGTTCTCTAATGGCAGTGTTTTCAACGTTGGCTGTACATTAGAATCAACTGAGGAAGCTTTTCAAAATTCTGATGCCCAGGCTACACTTCAGAACAATTAAATTACCATCTCCGGGGGCGAGTAGTTTTTAAAGCACTACTCTCTGCAACCCCCACACACAGATGGTTGATTCCATTGTGTATCCAAGGTTGAAACCACACTACTGAATTGATGTAGTTATTAGTATTCTTAGAAAGCTTAGATATTAGTCTAAGAAACCTCCAGGTTTTTATGAAGGGGAAATTAAAAATAAAAGACCGCCTTTGCAAACTTATTTCGTATGAGTATTTTTTTTTAACACATATCAACCCTCTGTTCTAGTCTAATTGGCCTTTTCATTCTACATGCTTTCTCTGCCTTTGTTCATGCTATTTGAGAAATGATCTTCCCCCATTTTTGCTTTTTATAATTTCACACTACCACCTCTTTGAAGCTTCATTCTTTCAGCCAGAGGAAGGTTTTTCCCTTCAGAACTTCCCTTTTTTGCTTTAGTATATTCTGTATGGTTTTGCATTCATGTTTTATTTCTCCGGCTAGTTTGCAAAGCCTCATTCTTACCTATGTAGTCCTCCCTAATTGCCAGGCATCTTTATATCCCTTGTAATGCCTTGCATCCAGTAAATGTTATGTAAATGTTTGTTTGAATAAAAGGAATTTCAGATGTCATGCTGCAGATGTGTGCTATTTTAGAACTGGGGAGAAAACAGATGTGTAATATCTTTTCTATGCCCTTCACACTTTTCCAGTTACTCAAATTCTTGATTTGGAGATGACTTTTTTTTTTTTTTTTTTTTTTTTTTTGAGATGGAGTCTTGCTCTTGTCACCCAGGCTGAAGTGCAATGGCATGATCTCAGCACACAACCTCCTCCTCCCAGGTTCAAGTGATGCTCCTGCCTCAGCCTCCCGAGTAGCTGGGATTACAGGCACCCGCCACCACACTCAGCTAATTTTTTGTATTTTTAGTAGACATGGGGGTTTCACCATGTTGGCCAGGCTGGTTTCCAACTCCTGACCTCATGATCCGCCCACCTCGGCCTCCCAAAGTGCTGGGATTACAGGCGTGAGCCACTGCGCCCAGTCAAGGATGACCTTTTTATTTGTTTAAGTATGTGATTTTCATCCCCTGTGCAACCATTAAGTAGTCTTCAGGAATCAGATTCTGGAAATGTTAGCTCTGGTTGGGAGTGCTTTATAGTTTACAACAGAGCATGCTTGCTAATGCCAGTTATGAAGCACCCACCAGGGTTATTTTCTGTCATGGTTTAAACAAAACTTTGTTGTAGTCCTCACTATTTTTTAATATTTAAGATTAATTTTTAGATTTTTGAGAATGCCATTTTATATACTACTACTCTCTGTTCATTGAGAAGATAAATCCTCTTTTCCCAGTCTTAAAGATACAAAATAATTGTTACAACTCAATGATCTGCAAGTTCCTACCACTAAATGACTGTAAAGGAGAGTGTGTTTAAAGCAGACAAAGCATTTGATGATTCAAGGAAGTGTTTTAGACGCACAGTGAGAACTAGGAAGAAACAACTGTGGAACTGTAGCAAAAAGTAGATTTTGCTTTTGAAACAGCTCCATTAGTTGTGTTTATGTGTGTTTTACATTGCGTGTATGCCACCTGTTTTCAGCTTGAGTTCTTTAATGTTTTTGTCAAGGAAGACCGACTTCAGAGTGAATTATATCTTATCAGAATCCTGAGAAAAAAAGCAAGACTAAGACCATGTGGAGTTATTTTCTTGTCAGCTAGGTAATTCAGCTAGTCTCATTCTCTAATGCTGAACGTCCTTTTTAAATGATCTCCAAATCACATTTCTCCTTAGTAGAACTGACTGTGAAAGAGATTTGAAGCACTGCATGCTTCCCCACTTCCTCCGTAGACAGTCCAAATATTTTCTTTTTTAGGAACATTCCAAACTCTAAAAATCACTTTTGTTCCACCTATAATTTTTGCAGCTTGAAATTGCAGCTCAATACTAATTTGGCTCTTACTTTTTCAGTGGGGCAGCAGGTTTTGTAAATTAAAACACATTAATTGTTTTGTTTTTTGGCTTTTTCTTTTCCAACACCTCCCCACCCCCTCCGTCCGCCCCCCACTATAAGTTTCCTTTTAAAGAAAAAATAAAGCATATTCAAAACGTTGCCGCTTGGGGATAGAGCTTCTTAGAATATGCATACTCTTTAAATCTTGTTTGGGTTTGTGCCTGTGTACCCCAGTGGAAAGACTGGATCTGAAACATCCCTGAGATGTCCCAGATCCATCTTCTTTCCAAGTTTTCTCCAAACTAATACACCATCACTACCACCACTTAGTTCCCCTAATACATATTTCTTTGTAATCTACAATTTTTTTAGGCTTTGGGAGACAAGTTGAATGGCATGTATTTCCAGCAACTTGGTAGAGCAATTTACAGATTCTATATGGGCATCTAGTATTTAGCTAAATGAACTCTACCTCTCTCTCCTCTCTCTCCTTTCTCTCTTTCAGCTTGGCAGTGACCTTGGCGGGGGCATTGGAGGAAGTCCGGCAGTAAGTGCCATCTGTTTTTTTCACCATGAGAAGCACTGCCCCCTGTTTGATGCGTTTCCTATGTACACATTATCAGACCAGCCACTGCTGCTGTCTAGCATTGCACACCAAAACCTCTTTAACAGTATATGGGGAGTAGAAAATAGTACAGGGTTACTTGGAATTGTTGGGGTCATGCACCACGTGGTGTAGAGACATCTTTAAGGATTAATGTTCCAGTGCTTACAGAGATCTTTGTCTTTCTGATATTAAAGAGCTAAAGGAAATGGACCCTTCCATCTTGACTGGAGAATGCTTATTCCCTGGTGTCACCTAGAAAGAACTTGAGAGGGTCAGCTGGACTCAGAGTGAGACTCTCCTTATAAATGAGTTAGTTTCGGGGGTGTGAATGTCCATCTCCCAGAGGAGAGCTTCCTACTAGATATTTATGTCAAAATGGGAAAGGAAACACTACTTTGCTGAACCCAGGTGGAAATGGAACTGCTGTTTAAGTTGGATACTTCTCCCTCTTTCTATAAAAACAAACTCCTCCTTTCTTAGGGTACCTGTAGGCCTTTTGCACAGAATCATGGAAGCTAAAATTGGAAACAAACACAAAATCTTGAATCACTGTGTTCCTGTATCCTACTGAGTACTCTCTTGATAAAGCTTCTACAGAATGAGTGTGTCTTATCAATGATGAAAAAATAACTGTCTTGATTAAAAAGATGAAGAATATACTAATTTAACTCCTAAGAATATTGTAATTATGGTTTTTTTAATTGATTTATCAAAACTACTAAGATGTGTAGCAATATTTTAAGGACTGTTAATCGGTTCTTCCCAATCTCCTCTCTCCCCCCCCTTTTTTTTTTCCTGCAGGTGGGACAATCCTTCATCCCATCATCGGTGCCTGCAACCTTTGCTCCTTCACCTACACCTGCTGTTGTCAGCAGTGGACTGAATGACCTGTTTGAACTCTCCACAGGCATAGGCATGGCACCCGGTGGATATGTGGCTCCTAAGGCTGTAAGTAAAGAGTTAACATAGCAATACTTTCTTAATGGACAGGACCCAAATGGTTTCACTTTTAACATTTGTGTTGCTTCTACTGGTAATAAATCAAAGGTTTGGGCCCTTGTTCTGGAGGACTTAAGAGGAAGATGAAAGGTGGCTTCAAACTTAGCAGTAGGAAGCACCATTAGCATCCTTGTTAAACTTCTTTATAATTAGACTTAAAATTAGAAATATTAATTATTTGAGTTTTGTTCCCGTGTTTAGAAATATTGTCTAGTTTGTCAATATTGAAGTCAATCTAGTGAAAATCTAGTGGTATGTAGTGCACCAGCAGGAGAAAAAAATACAGAGAAGTCATTTCTCTTATTCCCTTTTCCACATTGGTGTTACATATGGATTCTAGAATGCCACTGCTCAGATTTGGTTTTCATGGATTTTAGTGTACCTTTTTAGAGTTCCGATTTAGGTTTGTGTCATTGGGGCTCTTCTTGTCTTGTGTTAACCTTACTTGATGTCACTCACAGTGAAATTCAAGAGGGGAGACTCCCGGTTAAGGAAGCTCATTTAAGCCCTTGGGAAAAGCACCATCCAGGCTAGGCCAGGCTTCATATAGTCTTGCCTTTCTTAGGACCAATTTGACTGGTTGCTTCCTGAATTCTCTGCTTACTAATCTGACTCCTTATGGGGGATCCCTGCTATAGAGATGTAGACCGGTTGTCCATTCCAGGAGTCATAACTGTGATAACTGAGTGTATATAGTTATTACAGTACATAGCAAAACCGAAGATATTCAAAATTGAGCCATAGTGTTTTGGCACACCTCAGTAGCTTTGTTGTAAGGTTTACTATATTGGATATTATCTTCAGACTTTTAATTATTAGTTATCTGATACACTCATTTACTAACATAAAAGTAATGTATACAAATTACCAATGTAAATAATATGAAAATGTAAGATGGAAAATTATCTCTCCCATCCCCCATTTCCCATGTATAGACGCTGTTAACTTTCTTGTGTGTCCTTTCAAAAGAAAAAGATCATGCATATAGCTGTATATTTGTATCCTTTGTACATTCTGTGTCAATGGAATATACTATTTTGCACCTTGGTTTTTTCTCTGCCATATTCTTTTGAATCCATGTATCTACTGAATTGATACACCATAATTTATTTAATCACTCCTCTGTTAATGAACATTTAGTTTATTCCCTGGTCCTCCCCACCACCTGCCACTCTTTTAGTGTGGCTGGGTATATTACCATGATTATTCCCCACCCACAGATCCTTTGGTATTCTGTCTTAGGTGGTCAGAACAGCTCATGACTCCTGATTTAAAAAAAATTTTTTTTTGAGACGGAGTCTCGCTCTGTTGCCCAGGCTGGAGTGCAGTGGCGCCATCTCGGCTCACTGCAAGCTCCGCCTCCCGGATTCATGCCATTCTCCTGCCTCAGCCTTCCCAGTAGCTGGGACTACAGGTATCCGCCACCACGCCCGGCTAATTTCTTTTTGTATTTTTGTTATCCAGGATGGTCTTGATCTCCTGACCTCGTGATCCGCCTGCCTTGGCCTCCTAAAGTGCTGGGATTACAGGCATGAGCCACTACGCCCGGCCTTAAATTTTTTTATCTCTATTTTTTTTCATAGTATAGGCCAGATGTATCACAGGTTCTGGGACCAAGGGGTGTGTTATGATTTATTTAGATAGATAGAATAGGCATTCAGATTATATGAGCAATATCTGAGTATTTACTATTTACCACAAACTGTAGCAAGAGTTAAAAATGTATATAAGACATGGTCGATGCCTTTAAGGAAATTACCAGTAATGGCTTTGGTTGGAAATGATGAAAAAAAATCTTCAAAGATTACAGGCACGCTATTTTCATTAGCAGATGCAGTTTGTTCCCTTTAAACCATTTTACCAAAACTAACAGAAAAATACATTATACTCATTGGAATTTTTCTTTTCCTCTTGGTAGCAGTACTCTTAAAAGCAGTAAAATAACCAAGCCGAACAAAAGATAGAGCAGAAGCCAGGGTCGTTTAAAGACTGGTTTTTAAAAATTATTATTATTTGCTTCTTAAATAATTGACAACGATCTCAAAATTCAGAAAATAAGACTCTATCCAGAGTCTTTTGCACTGGATTGATACTTATGGTATAAAATTTACTATAATTGCCTAAGGAAATGAATTTGTTCACTTAATTGTTAATCTTAATTTGTTCTTTATTTGTTAAAAAATATGTAGCATCAAGATAAATCTTGTCTGGTTCTACTGAGCTTTATTGTGTGTTTCAGGTCTGGCTACCTGCAGTAAAGGCTAAAGGCTTGGAGATTTCAGGAACATTTACTCACCGCCAAGGGCACATCTATATGGAAATGAACTTCACCAATAAAGCTCTGCAGCATATGACAGATTTTGCAATCCAGTTTAACAAGAATAGGTAAGAAATCTGAGTCCCTAGCTTGACGTTGAGACAACAGTTTGCCTTAGAACCAACAAGAGAACTTTCCATTTAGCACTGGTTAAAAACTCACATATTGGTCCGGGTGCAGTGGCTCATGCCTGTAATCTCAACATTTTGGGAGGCCGAGGTGGGCTGATCACCTGAGGTCAGGGGTTCAAAAGACCAGTCTGGCCAACATGGTGAAACCCCGTCTCTACTGAAAATACAAAAATGAGCTGAGCGTGGTGGCGGGTATCTGTAATCCCAGCTACTGAGGAGGCTGAAGCAGGCGAATCCCTTGAACCCGGGTGGCCAAGGTTGCAGTGAGCCGAGATGGCGCCAGTGCACTCCAGCCCAGGCGACAGAGTGAGACTCCATCTCAAAAAGAACACCAAACCTCACATATTGGCAGATGCTGTATGTAGAGTGAGCCCTGGCTCTTGCAAGTCTTTTCAGTTATCAGCTTCAACTCTGGAGGCACTAGGGAGTTTGTTGGGAAATTCATCCAAATGCGATGAAGAAACCAGAACTTAATTTACTATCTTGGATTCTAGGATTAGAACATTTTTGACAAATTTTTAACTGAAATCCATTTATTCAACAAATCATTGTTTAGCATTAGTATGAGTCAGACATTTCTAGGTACTAGGGGTACAGTAGTGAATCAAACAAAGCTCCTGACTGAAAGTTCACATTTTGGTGGGGAAAGTTAGCATATTTGGTCGATGTAAGAAATATGGAAGTGTATATGCTGACCAAATAATCACATAAACCTTGACAACCTTCTTTTAGCAGTCAATTCTCTGCCTTAATAAGGAAGAGAGCATGAAGAAGTAAAATGTTAATGCCTTATTTTTGAAACATCAGTGGTTTTTATTCAGTTTTATGGTGCAGGAAACTGGCTGTTAGACCTTAATGGCATGTCCATTCATTTGTAAATACAGGATATTTAACCCTGCATATAAAAAGTAGTAATTGGACCCTTAAAGCAGATTTAATAAAGTTTGTCAATAACAATTTGCATCAGTGACTGTCTGATTTATTTCTCATCATTTGGAAACACTTTTGTACTCTGGATTTGAGAGCTTGGCATGTTAAAAATCATTTAACTATCTGGAAAGTCTGTGTTTCTTTCTGTCAAGACTACCAATATTTCCAGCCACTTTTGAGGAGCTGGCCTTGTTAAAGGTCAAAGCTTTTGGGAAAATAAGTAAATAAATAAGCCAAGGCTGTTGGTGCAATCTATTGTTGTAATGAAGGAAATCTGCAGATGCAGAGTCTGCATTCATCTCTAGCCTTCCCCCCCCGCCCCCTTTTTTTTTTTTGGAGATGGAGTCTCACTCTGTTGCCCAGGCTGGAGTGCAGTAGAGCAATCTCGGCAGCTCACTGCAACCTCTTTCGTTCTGTTCCATTGTTTTGTTTTTGTTTTTCTTCTTTGGGGTTTTCAATTATTCATTTATTGACTGTTTGTTTATTTTTATATACTGTTTTCTCTCTAATCGTTAAAAAAAACATCAAATTCTTGTATATCAGCAAATATCCAATTGGTGTCAGATTTTCACAGTAGTCTAATGTTTTTGTACTGTTTGCTTTGTTTGAACAGGGTCCCAGTAAGGTCCCATACATTGCAGTTAGTTAATAAGTGCCTTAAGTCCCTTTAAATCTATAGGTTCCTCCTCCTTCTCTGTTTTGTTCCTTAAAATTTATGTCCTCCTCCCTCTCTGTTTTGTTCCTTAAAATTTATCTGTAGAAGAAATTAAGTCTTTTATGTGTGGAGTTTCCCACAGTCTCAAATCTTGCTGATTCTGCTTGTAAATTGGAGGCAGATTATAGATTTATCAGATTTAGGCTCATATTCTGGTAGAAAGACTTCATAATTGGTGGTGATTGCAAATCCTGTTTCTCTTGTAGTTTTTTTTGTTTTTTGATTTTTGTTTTTTTTTGCTTTTTCTCATTTCTATTCTGTTTCTTACCATGTTTACTATGGTGTCTGTTTCCTTGGTCTTTGTAAGTCAGTCTTTTTGTCACTGTAATTGTACCTTTTCTATAATTTTTTTATAAATGAAATTACATAGTATGGAATCTTGTGTGGTTTCTTTCGATTAGCATCATGCTTTTGAAATACGTATATCAGCAGTTGATTTCCCTTTTGTTGTTAAATAATACTCCATTGATGAATATACAGTTTGTTGACGTGCTCACAAGTTGGGAGAGTTTGGTTGTTTTCAGTTTCATCTTTATGATAAAGTTGCCATGAACATTTGTGTACACATCTTTGGTTGGACATATGTTTTTGATTTTCCCTGGTAAATAACTAGGAATGTTATTGCTAGGTTATATGGTAAGTTTGAGAATTCCAGCTGTTCCACATCCTCACCAATTTTAGCCATTCTTGTCGCTGTGTAGTTGTGTCTCATTTTAATTTGCATTTCCCTAATGACTACTAATTTTAAGCATTTTCTTTAAATAAGCATATTGGTCATTTTTATATCTTAAGTATCTGCTCAAATCTTTACTTTTTGTTGTTTTTTGGGAGAGAGAAAAGATTGTCTTACTGAGTTGTTAAAGTTCTTTGTATATTCTGGATACAAATCCTTTGTTGCAAATATTTTTTCACAGTCCATGGCTTGCCTTTTCTTAATAATGTCTTCAGAAAAACAAAAGGGTGTTTTTGTTTGTTTGTTTGTTTGTTTGAGACAGAGTCTGGCTCTGTCATCCAGGCTGGAGTGCAGTGGCACAATCAAGGTCTACTATTGCTTCAAACTCCTGGGCTTAAGCGATTCTCCCACCCCAGCCTCCTGAGTAGCTGGGACTACACCTGTGCACTACCACACCCAGCTAATTTTTTTTATTTTTTGTAGAGATGGGGTCCCACTGTGTTGCCCCGGTTGGTTTCAATGGCCTGGGCTCAAGTAGTCATCCTGCCTTGGCCTCCCAAGGTACAGGAAATACAGGCATGAGCCATTGCACCCAGTTGAAAGTTTTCAATAAAGTCAGGTTCATCTGTTTTTTTTCTTTTTATGGCTTATGCTTTTTGTGTTCTAAGAAATCTTTGCTTAACCCTATGGTTACAAAGATTTTTTTGGCATGTTTTTAAATATAAGCCTTACAGTTTTTGTTCCTACATTTAGTTTTAAAATTCACTTTGAGATCATTTTTAAGTATGTTGTAAATCAAGAGTCAATGTAAAAATTTTTTCCATAATAGGTCTTGAAATCAGATGGCATACGTCCTGCAACTTTGTTTCTTTTCAAAACTTGTTTTAGGTGTTCTTGGTCTTCTACATTTCCCTGTAAATTTTAGAATCAGCTTGTCAGTTTCTACAAAAAAAATGCTGAGATTTTTATTGGAATTGCAGTGAATATGTAGATCAATTTGGGGGAGAATTGACATCTAAGCAGTATTGAGTCTTCTAATCCATTAGTATAGTATATCTCTGTTTAGGTCTTTAATTTCTCTTTGCAATGTTTTGTAATTTTTTATACACAAATCTTACACACCTTTTGTCAGATTTAAGTATTTCAGATTTTTGATGTTATAGTAAATAGTTGTTTTTTTTTTTTGAGACAGAGTTTTTCTCTTGTCACTCAGGCTGGAATGCAATGGCATGATCTCTGCCCACTGTAACCTCTGCCTCCTGGGTTCAAGCAGTTCTCCAGCCTCAGCCTCCTGAGTAGCTGGGATTAGAGGCACCCGTCACCATGCCCAGCTAATTTTTGTATATTTAGTAGAGACAGGGTTTCACCATATTGGCCAGGCTGATCTTGAACTCCTGACCTCAGGTGATCTGCCCGCCCTTGGCCTCCCAAAGTGCTGGGATTACAGGTGTGAGCCACTGGGCCCATCAGTAAATAGTATTTTTAATTTTAATTTTTTATTGTTGCTAGTATATAGAAATATAATTGATTTTTATATATTGAGCTTGTCTCCTGCAACTTTGTTAAACTTACTTTTTCTTTCTAGTAGCCTTTTTGTAAATTCCTTATAGTTTTCTACATAAATAAATCATGTTATTTATAAAAAGAGACAGTTTTATCTTTTCCTATTCAATCTTATGCCTTTTATTTTTCCTTCTTGCCTGATTGTACTAACACAACCTCCAGTAAATGTTGGGTGGGAGTGGTAAGAAAAGTGTTCTAATTCATGGGAGAAGCATTCAGTCTGTCATCATTAAGTGTAACGTTAGCCATAGGTTTTTTTGTGGAGCTTGAGGAAGTTTCATTCTGTTCCTGGTTTTCTGAGATTTATTATGAATGGGTATTAAATTTTGCCAGATGCCTCTTCTGCATTTACTAAAATGATTATGTGAACTTTTTTAGTCCATTAATATAATGGATTACATCAGTTGATTTTTCAAATGTTAAACCAACCTTGCATTCCTGGGATAAATCCTACTTGGTTAGGATGTGTTGTCTTTTTTTCTGTATTGATGGAGTTCATTGGCAAAAATTTTTTTACATCTGTGTTCATGATATATTTAGTCTTCATTTCTGACATGATTTACTTGTTTTATTATTTCTTTCCTGAGTTAGATTGGCTCCCTTTACCTTTTCCTGTTGTCTGTCCCTCACTTTACATTATCTGGTCATCCCTTCCCCAGATGTTTTTTTTTTTTTTTACTGTTGTGTGGTCTTCCTTGGTAGCTAGCACTGTTTTTTGTTTGTTTGTTTGTTTTGTTTTTTCAAGTATTTTTTTTTTGTCATTAAGGAAGTTGTACTGCTGTCTTTCCACTTTTTTATACTGGGGCTTTGAATAGTTGCTGTGTTTTTTACCATTTTGATACTCATATTTGAATGAGTTGGAATTTGCAGGAGTAGCTAGTAGTAGATTTCTATAGAAAAAGAAGATAGGCAGGGTAGTTTTTTAGACTTTACTCCTCAAGAATGTTTCCTTCGTTGCTCTGGTGTAGCCACAGCTTCTTAGCCTCTCTGAATCTAACTTGATTCTAGAGGGCTGATCTTTGCCTTCAAGCCCTGTCTTCCAAGGTGTTTGTTTCCTCTTTAGAAGGTGGTGCTTCTTGAGCCCTTTCCTCTCCAGGGCTCCCTTGGTAGAAAGGGACTTGCTACCTTTTTTTTTTCTCCAACCGTATTCATATGTTGCTCCTGTTTGATCTTGGTCTATTCTGGGAATGGGGCTCTCTTCTGAGAATGGATATTTGTGGTCAGTCTCTGAGACCTGCTACTACTGCTGGTTTCCTCTGAACTCCTTGTGCTTTCCTGCTGTATCACCAGAGCATCTCACCAGTTCTGTGGGCTTTCTTTAACTAGTAGTTTTGGAGAAGGTGAAATTACAGCTTTATAGGGACTTTTTTCCCTCTTTGTTTCCTCTATTTCATTTCTCAGATGAGCACTTGGAAGATTTGGAACTATGCTGCTGCCATGTTTCCCAATATTGACTTCATGACAGAGTTTTGATGACTGTGAGAGCAAAATAAAAAGAATAAAATGGTTTTTTGCCTTATAACTATTATCCCTAAATGAGTGATATGAATTCTCAAGATGATTTCATTATTACAATTTGGTACTCTTAAGGTGTAGTTTAGGAGAAAGAAAATATTTCTTTAGCCACTCTAACTCTTGAAAGAGTATCTGTGTAAACTCTTTTTCTATTTTTATTTTTATTTTTATTTTTTTTGAGACAGAGTTTCGCTCTTGTTGCCTAGGCTGGAGTACAGTGGCGTGATCTTGGCTCACTACACCCTCCGCCTCCCAGGTTCCGAGTAGCTGGGATTACAGGCACCCACCACCATGCCTGACTAATTTTTTTTTGTATTTTTTGGTAGAGATAGGATTTCACCATATTGGCCAGGCTGGTCTCGAACTCCTGACCTCAGGTGATCCACCCACCTCGGCCTCCCAAAGTGCTGAGATTACAGGCGTGAGCCACTGCACCAGCTTGTATAAACTCTTTAGTTAATTTTAAAAACGTCGTAGTCCCATCTTCCATCCTGAGGCTATTTAGAATATAAATTCAATATAAATTTGTATCATTTTGTTTGTTATCTTCTAGGCCCACTTTTTTGTTTTCTTCTTTTTTTTCCCTACTCGAAACAGGGTCTTGCTCTTTTGCCCAGGCTGGAGTGCATGGTGCAGTTGAGGCTCACTGCAACTTCAACCTTCTGAGTTCTCAACCTCCTGGACTCAAGCGATCTTACCACCTCAGCCTCCTGAGTAACTGGGACCACAGGAACACACCACCACACTGGCCAATATTTGTAATTTTTTTCCGGAGACAGGGTTTCTCTATGTTGCCCAAGCTGGTCTTGAATTGCTGGGCTCAAGTGATCCGCCCGCCTGGCCTGGGTCTCCCAAAGTGTTGGGATTACAGGCGTGAGCTACCATGCCTAGCCTATAATTTTTTTTTTTTTTTTTTTAAGACAGAGTCTCGCTCTGTCGCCCAGGCTGGAGTGCAGTGGCACAATCTTGGCTCGCTGCAACCTCCACCTCACAGGTTCAAGCGATTCTCCTGCCTCAGCCTCCTGAGTAGCTAGGATTACAGTTGCCTACTACCCAGCTAATTTTTGTGGTATTTTTAGTAGAAATGTGGTTTCACCATGTTGGCCAGCCTGGTCTCGATCTCCTGGCCTTAAGTGATCCACCCACTGCCACCTCCCAAAGTGCTGGGATTACAATTGTGAGCCACTGTCCCCAGCCCTAGCCTATAAAATTTTATCCTTATGCTTCTCAGACCATCTGTCTTCCCACACATGTATTTGTTTCCTATTTAACTTCAGATTCAGGCTGAGTTTCCCATCTCTTTACCATTCTTGTATTATTAAACAAGTTTTCCTGGAGAAAACTGGTGGCTATACATTGCCTGTCTGAAGCTTAGAAAGTGGCCATGTTTGGCTCCACAACTTACCCTAACTATTTGGAATTTATAAGCCAGTCAATTCCATTTAGACTAGCTCTTTCCCAGTGATTGTGTCCTGTGTAAGTGAAAAAAAAAGGGAAAGTGAGAATTACCAGTAAATAATCCTCTGGACTTATCAGGCAGGTTATCAGGCCTGTAAAATAATTTATTGTACTTCTCTTTACAGAGTAGAAATTGGTTTTGGGGTTTTTTGGGTTTTGTTTTTTTAAAGACAGGGTCTCGCTCTGTCATCTAGGCTGGACTGCAGTGATGCAGTCACAATTCACTGCAACCTCTAATGCCCAGGATCAAGCAAGCGATTCTCCTCCCTCAGCCCCCAGAATAGCTAGGACTACAGGCATGTGCCACCATGCCTAGCTAATTTGTTTTCTTTTATTACTTTTTTTTTGGTGGGGGGTGGGCAGTAAAGACAGGGTCTCATTGTATTAAGTGACCCTCCTGCCTCAGCCTCCCAAAGTGCTGGGATTACAGGCGTAAGCCACCACACCTGGCCTCAGGAGAAAGAAATTCTTCTTTCTCTGAAGAATTATCTAAGGAAAGACTTATTAAAAATGTATTATCAAACCTGTCCCTTTAGTGACATTTTAAAGAGAAGAAACTTTCAGAGTCATAGCACTAGCAAAGCAGTTCTGCATTTATGGATATTTTCTTCCTCAAATCCATTTAATGGAAAACAGAAGTTATGATGTAACCAATGTTACAGCAAATTGGAATTGAGCACTTTGATTCCTGCTACCCCTTTTATTTAATTGTGTTAAAAATTTTGTTTCCTTGCCTGTAATCCCAGCACTTTAGGAGGCCAAGGTGACCAGATTGCTTGAGCTCAGGAGTTTGAGACCAGCCTGGCCAATACGGTGAATCCCCATCTCTACTAAAAATACAAAAATTAGCATGGCATGATGGTGCATGCCTATAGTCCCAGCTACTTGGGGGACTCAGGTGTGAGGATCACTGAAACCTGGAAGGTGAGGGCTGTGGTGAGCTGAGATCACGCCACTTTGCTCCAGCCTGGGTGACAGAATGAGACCCTATCCCAAAAAAAAAAAAAAAAAAAAAAAAA